TACTTTTGATTAGAAAATCAATAGCCATGTTGAATTAAGCATTTAAGCAATATATTTTATTTTTCATTTTATTAAAACTATATATTTTTGATGTTTATTTACAGGCCTTATCTAAAATTGTAAGTTACAATCATATTTATATGTGTACATCAATTGAAATCTGTGCTATAGCTATTGGATGGCACGTCCCCCCCCACCGGACCAAAAATATTTTCTTTTTTTTTTTTTTGGTTGTAGTATACCAGTTTCTTGTACCAGATTTATATTTATTTATATATTTAGAAAATCAATAGAAATATATTCCAGTACTTAATTTTTATTTTTGTTTAAAAACTATATTTTTTCGTCGTTTTTTATAAGATATTGTTTATTTTATTTATTTCACGTGTATAATACATTAATTGAAATATTTTAAATTCATGCATTTACTTTTATTCTATGAAATAATAATCAAAATACATTTTTCGATATAAAATTTTCTACATAATTATATTATTAATAGAATAAACTTTTCAAATCTATAAACAAGTCAATTATTATTTATATATATATATATTTTTAGATTGAATATTTCATCGATGGATATGGTTAAATCAAAATAACAGTATTTTAAATATTCATAATTGGATCTAATAATTATTTTACCTTGTTAAAATACATAAATCTGATACGTAATATTACAATAGTTACTTATGAATACTAAAATATATATACGTACTTGAAATATTAAACAAAAATCGGAACTATACAGATCTATTCATCATAACATAAGAAATAAAAATCAAAAGTATTTCTTATATTTTTATTTTAGAATAATCTTCTACTCAGCTACATATTATACTTTTGCAGTGTACATTGGAGTTATTTTTAAATTATACATTTATTTTATTTATTATCATGCACTTTTAATTACGAAGGTTTCAATGCAAAAATTATATAATTTAATAAATTAGACGATTATAATAACATGTGTTTCTATTTACACTTAAATAATGTTGTTTTGTTTAATAAATTACAATTTTTTTATGTTTAAGATTTAAGTAGTTTAATTATAATAATTATTGTATAACGATGGCACACAACATATTCAATAAAGATTTTTCTCTCTTCAATACCTAATTGATTTACTTTAATTTTCACAATACACTACTATAGATATTATACCAGTTAATTGTTTATAGCAATATGACAATACCTAAAAATTAGTTAACAATATAAATAGAAGAATAATTATGATTAAGATGCCGGCTATTTATTAAAGAACAAATTATTGGCAATAACTAGTGTAAATGGTTATTAGTGTGAATGAATCCTTTTTACAAACTGTGTACCAGCATAACTGATCAGTTTTATTACGATCACAGTGTGCTGTGTCTTAAGTTGTACTTTTAAATGTATATGTTACGGTAAATGATGTTACATCGGAAATTAACGTTATTCGCCGGTTATTTACATTATTTACCAAATATACAGGTTATATTATACTTCATATAATGTGGAATGAAGTCAAAATCGTTCATGGAAAGCCAAGACATAGTCAAAGTCAGGGGTCAGTTGAACGAGCCAATAGAGACGTCCAAGAAATGCTAGCTGCTTGGATGGGTGATAATAATAGTTCCGATTGGCCATCGGCATTAAGATTTATTCAGTTTAAAAAAAATAGAGCTTTTCATTCAGGTACTATTAACATTTAACTTATTTTTATTAATAGTTAATAAAAATTGTTTTTTTTTAATGTTAATTATTTACATATTAGGCATAGGTAGAACGCCATATGAAGCGATGTTTGGCTGCACGGCTAGAATTGGTTTAATGTCGTCTAATCTTCCAAACGATGAAATAAAAGAGGTCATTACGGAAGAAGATTTAGAAAAAATAACCAATGAACCAATCACCGAAGAAGACGAAATCGGAAATGAAATCATAGAAATCGTAGAAAAAAATTCGGAACTTGGTACTTAAATATTTTTTAATTATTTAACAATAAATTATTAATATTTAAAAATTATTTTTAATATTTTTTAGATGATCGTCAAGAAAATATTTGTATTGCACGTAAAAATTCAAAAAAAAATTTAGAAAAACAAGGAGAGAAAATGATGAAACTTTCCAAAGAAAAGTTTCCTCAGCTTGAAATAGGCACAACTGTACGTGTAACTATACCGGACGTTGATAGAGCTCGTGGTTCTCCGCGAAATATACTGGCAGTTGTCACCCAAGTTGAACATGACTTATACAAACTCTGTAAGTTAATTCTTAATGAAAAAATATATTATTAAAATTAAAAATTGTTTAACTATTTTATAGGTACGGAACATGGTTTTCTTAAATATAATTACACACGCCAAGAAATAGCTGCTTGCGAAGAAAATCTATTAGACATGTACAATGTGATAAAATTAGCAGGTGATAGACAGTTGACACTGAGGGAAGCAGCTAGTAATAGTTCGGTCGCGGGCCCTCAAGGGTACCAGCGTTGCCATTGCAAGACTGGTTGTAATAATAAACGTTGTGCCTGCCGTGGGGCTGAAAAATTATGTAATAGTAAATGTCATGGGAGTACAAATTGTAAAAACAAATAAAAAATAATACAGCATTTTTTCTATTTTTAAAAATACCTATTTTGTAGTAGGTATTTGAGATTCACGTGCATATCTGGTCTATAACAACAATTACCTGTGTATTTGGTCATTAACGTGATTATCCAGTTTATAACGATAATTACCTGTATATTTGGTAAATAACGTTAATAACCGGTGAATAACGTTAATTTCCATTTAACATCATTTACCGTAACATATATACATTTAAGAGACCACCCCTATTCATTCATCATCGCCCAGACCAAACGGCTGGGTTTAGAAACTTGAAATTTTGTACAGAGGTTCCCTCCTTAAGCAACGTAGGAGCGCACTGAGAAAGGATTTTTCAAAGTTCAACCTCTAAAGTGATAAAAGGTAATTTTTAAAAGTTTGTATAGATTTAATATATATGTATTATTTCTGACTGCTGTTGCTAATTAACTGGTATTAATAAAACCAGTTGCAGTTAATCGGGGAACCACGGTTGTAATACAAAATTGATACCGGCAATTGACGGTCAAAGTTCAAAGATAATGTGAAATGGTGAAAACGTGCTGCAGTCACCTACTGTAGATCATCGGTCCTATAAAAAATCTATTGGTGTTATAACAATTAACACATTTAATACAATTAAAATGTGAATTAAAAGTTATATTAGCACTAT